TGATTTATTTCAATATATATATTGAGAGAAAGAGATAGAGAGTGAGATAGAGAGATGGAGAGTGAGAGAGAGAGAGAAAGAGAGAGAGAGAGATCTTCAGTTAAAAATGGCAACTTCAGGGATTTAGGAATATACCATATAGTATACAAAGCTGTATGCCCTGTACCTTGCTAAGTGCATCTTACACTTAGTACATATTTAATAAATGTTTACTGAATAAATATAAGTATAAAATGTGAGGTACTTATAACAGTGCTGAAGTAGCCAGTAATTTCTTCTGGCTATACCTGTCATCGCAGGAAACTTTTTTCTCAAGCATTTTTAGATAAGGACTTGTTTCCCTAGGATAATTTTAAGTGAGCCACATATACCTGAGAAAAGTAGGTTAGCTACAAAGAGAAGTGAGATTTTTACTGTACCTCATCTAAAATTCCAAAGAAATTATAGGGCCTCTTGGGCCCTGGGTTTAGGGTGGCATCCAAAGAGATGAAAGAATAGTTTCCAAAGGGAGTACTGTGAACATAACGGAAAGAGCCATCCGTACGTATGGCAGAATATTTCCTAAAAAATACAAGACAGAAAGTTGTAATGCAATCATAAAAAAACTGAATACGTTTAAATGCCCTAATATCACACTGTGGTTTGCCTCCCCTGATCTGACAGAGAAACAGACTGAACTAGATCCACAATGGATAAAGTGTAAAAGAAATTTTAAAGACTTTTATCCCATTGTCTCTAAAGACAGTAACCAACGCACAAAGTTGCCAAGTAAAGCAGAGAAGTAGGGGCGATTTTAAGCAGTCCACTAAACATTTAAAAAGAGATCAGCCAGAACCTAGTGAAATGGTACTTACCAATCATTAAAACTGTAGTGAAGTCCTACTAAGTACATAGTAGAATTCTTGGTGCAGCGAGATACAAAAGTGTTTATTTTTTAAAACAGGACTACAGAGACTTAACTAGCAATAAAACCTTGTAAAGAAGTCATCAAACCAGGAGGAAAATGATAGTCTAGGTATGGGTCAGTAAACCTTTTTCAGTTCCTAAAAACATACTGATAACATTCACTGGGTCCATATCCAGTAATAAAAGTCCTCACCATCTTAAGTGTCAATAGTGTTCAGGTGTCCATAAAGTAGGAGAGTGAAGAGGAGAGAGAAAGGATGGGTAACATAGTATATAAAGTAGGCACTTGTTAAATATTTGTTAAATAAATGTAAGGAAAGTATAGATTACATTGGGGTATACCTATATTATTCAAATGTCAGAACATTTTAAGAAAATATCTAAGTGTCCTATATGACTTTTTACCTAAGAGCATATATGAAAAATACAAATAAACTTCTGAAACTTAATGTGCCATCAGGGAGCTAAATTTAAGCCACAACAGCCATCAACTATATCATAAATTATCATACATATTACAGTTAATAGTCAATTCTATTGCCTCTCTTCTTGGTATTTTTAAAATTTTCATTTCAGGGCTTCTTCCTCATTAAAAAGTTTATTTATATTTTTCCTGCTCAATATGTTTTCAGAGTTATTCTTCAGAATTTTATAATCTCATATGTTGTTTATATTGCTATATTTTTGACACGTTAAAATCCAACTATCAAAAAAGAAATCCAACTATTTAAAGGGAGAGGTTAAATATATGATAGTTAATAACATTTTTTGAATTCTGGATTTTGGCATTCACTGGGGCACTCTTTTTAAAATTATTTTATTTTTTTGTTGACAGTATTACAGATGTCTCCCATTTTTTGCCCCTTTACCCACCTCTGCCTAACGCCTACTTTCTCTCCTCCCTCCCTCCCCACAAGTCTTCACCACCCTATTGTCTGTGTCCATGGACTATGCATATAAGTGTTTTGGTTTATAGCTCCTCCTCCCTGCAACCCCACATCGAGGTAAGTCAGTCTGCTCATGCCTCCATGCTTTCGGTCTTATTTTGTTGGTCAATTCCTTTTGTTCATTAGATTCCACAAGTAAATGATATCATGTGATATTTGTCTTTCTCTGATTGGCTTATTTCACTTAGCATAATAGTCTCCAGGTCCATCCATGCTGTCTCAAAGGGTAAAGGGTCCCTCTTTTTTACAGCTGTATAGTATTCCATTGTGTAAATGTACCACAGCTTTTTTACCCATTCATCTATTGATGGGCACTTGATCTATTTCCACATCTTAGCTATTATAAATAATGCTTCTATGAACATAGGGGTGTGCATATTCTTTCTGATTGGTGTTTCAGAGTTTTTAGGATATATTCCCAGAGGTGGGATCACTGGATCAAATGACAGTTCCATTTTTAATTTTTTGAGAAAACTTCATACTGTTATCCATAGTGCATTCCCATTAGCAGTGAACTAGTGTTCCCTTTTCTCCACATCCTCTGGGGCATTCTTAAGCTCAAGATTTAACTTCAAGATTTCTTTCCTTCAGGTTGATATTTCTGTGATAGATAGATAGATAGATAGATAGATGGATAGATAGATATGTAGATATGTGCTATTTATTAAACTCAGATAGGCTAGGCCAACTGTGGGCAAACTACGGCCCGCGGGCCGGATCCGGCCCGTTTGGCTGTTCTATCCGGCCCGCGGAGCCAAAAGAGCAGAGGGTTCTCTTGCTCTCCCCTCCGCTCCTTCACCAGCAGCAGTGTTAACATGGCAACGTCGGGAAACACGGCCGTAGCTTCTTCTTCTGAGTCCAGTTTAAGAACCCATTGTGGCCCTCGAGTCAAAAAGTTTGCCCACCCCTGGGCTATGCACTTAGGAACAACAATCCTATCTAATAGTAGACAAACATGGTAATTAACCATACCTCCAATACGCTTCCCATTGGCTAATCAGCAGGATATGCAGATTAACTGCCAACCAAGATGGCGGCTGGCAGCCAGGCAGCTGAAGCGAATAGGAGGCTTGCTTGCTCCAGTGATGGAGGAAGCCAAGGTTCCCCGCCTGCCACTGCTGGGCTCTGAGCTGCACTCTAAGCAACAATGTTGCAATTATGGAAGCTAAACAAACCCCAGATACCTGCTTTCAGCCGTCAGAGCTGAAGCGAGCAGGACCGCAACAATGTTTCAATTATAGAAGCGAAACAAACCCCAGATACCTGCTTTCAGCCAGCCGGCCTCAAGCTGGAGCCGCAATAAAGTTTCAATTACAGAAGGTAAATAAATCCCAGAATAAAAAGAAAAAAAAGAAAAAAAGGAGAGACTGGGAGCTTCAGTTGCAGGTTTGCCCACATGAAAATAGCCCTCAGCCCCTCATCCAGGCTGGCCAGGCGCCCCAGTGGGGACCCCCACCCTGAAGGGGAT